TCGAGGAAGGCTATAGGCTATATGTCATCACGCTAAGAGCAATAGGAGCGGAGCACCAATGAAGAATGTTTCAAAAACGGAGAAAATTTATTACTTGAGAGACGCAAACGACGTTGCGCGGGTCAGCTAGTGTGTAATAAGATCAATCATTTGTTCTGTGTCTGGGTGTAATTACATACATACAAATTATATAAAATTTTAGTAGTTGGAAGTATATTTATCAGCAGTCTGGTTACCATAGTATCTATAGGTCCTGCTTATATAGTATAGTAGTTATATATAGTATCTATAGTTTGGGATCAGACGCCCGTCTGTGAGATGTATTAAGTTATTATAAATATGTTGTAAAATTTTACACACACAAGTGCTCACTATTTTATCGCCTCCGCAGCCAAAACATTCTTAATAAAATTGCTACAAGCGACAATCGACGCAAAAACTTCTTCATTTTGTATAAAAAACTAGTCCAGACTAGTTCTCTAACTCGTTGCTAAATTAATATGCATGTTGTCGTTATCTGTAAGCACGACTACATTAATAGCATGTGTTAGTGCCATAATACCTTCATTTACACCAACATTGTGTGTGTTTGGCACCAATCATATATTGGTCTAATCAATATTTAGTACCACTTACCATATTTGGGAAAACGTGACTGCCTATGATTGGTTTGTAACGTTCATCCTACAAATATTATTAGGATAAGGTGTCTCGACATGTGTATTTCTAGTTTCGAACCATGTAGGCCCTTTATCAGAGGTAAAATGACATGTGCCGTCAGTGTGATAAATCTCTATTTGTTTTGCCATTTGTGAGTGTGGGCTTGATGAGGGAAACGCGAACCATATATTTTTTAATTGTCCTAGAACTAAGTTTCCTATTTATGAATTAATTCCTCCTCATATTCCTCATCCCACGTCCCTTAAATTACTCTTATCTAGCGTTTTTACTCCTTTTGTATATATTCTAGGGAAGTGTATAACTTTAAACAAAATTAAATTATAGTTTCAATATCACAGTGTAATATTTGTTTTTGTTTTACTGGTTATTTATTATTTTGTATATGTATATATATTATTAGCTGTATATATATTTTACTAGTTTAAGTTTTATCATGCCTGTAAAAGATAACAATTTATTCATTCTTATTCTTTCATTCTCAAAATTTCTTTTGGCTCTACCACAGCTCTACATAAAATCCTTTGACAGTTTGTCTTTCAAATACATGACATTGGCGAATTTGTGGTTACACTCTACCACAAAGCCATTAACCAAAAGTGTCTGTCTGTCTGTTTTGCCATTTTTTGTTGTTTTTGTAAACAATTTATTATGGTAATATTAATTGGTGTGTCTAAAGCAGCAGTTTAGGATGTCCATACTATGTTCTAGCTCTCAAAAATATTTTGCTTTCAAAATAAAAATGATCTCCTGAGTTGCAGGTGGGGCTGCTCGTTTGGGCCCTATACCATAAAAACAAAGATCAAAGGCTTTACTCAGAAAAGTATCTGTCGTTTTTAACGTACTAGAATTATTGAAAGAAAATATTTATTTTATTCAAAGGCAATTCATTTCTTTTCAGATAAGAGCCTAGAAAGATAAACATTGACGTATCGGGGTAATACATATTTATTTAAGAAGTTTGCGTAAAAAGATGGATTTCTTTAAAGTTCTTTGTAATTTTTATGCGAGAGAATATATATTCAGAATAAAACGCAATCATTTAAAAATAAAGTCAGCTCTGAGTGTTTGCAGTCACTTAATAAAGTCTTTCATAGCAATAATTCGAACGGTTTTATTCGAAAGGACCTATTAAAGTTGCAAGGGGGTAAAATAGTACCAATATTTTGAATATAAAATATTAATTCAATGATAGTTTTTCGCTTTTCGTAGTTTTATTGTTATAGGTGGTATATTCTTATAAATTTTCTAATCTATAATTTGAATTTTGTTTGATAACCAAAGTGACAACATACTTACTGCCGACATGACATGACTAGTTCGAACAACATAACAATTAATTAATTACTGTTAATAGTATTCCCTTAGCTGGGTTGGTAACTGTCTCTGTTTTAGAAGATTAAATCGGGTGTCAACATGTCCCAAGATATCAGTACAACAACTGTTTACTCTGTTTGTAATGTCAAAATAACCGGTTTTCCTTCTCACACTTTGCCTAAAAAACAGTTTTTTTAAATGTTTTTTGTCTGATCCGGGCAATCTGCAAAACGGTGTAACCGATTTTGATACTTACTACCAGTAACTTAGGTTATTTTTCCTCTCAAAAACACCCTTTAAAATTTTGGGCCTTACGGATTGCAGTTGAGTACAGTACTACACCATGAGGCAGCGGTTTTCAAATTCCACGCGGACAAAGTCGCGGATACCAGCTAGTTAGTAATAATTCGCGATCTGGGTGGGTATCGAACCCACGACCTCTGGTTTAGCTGTCAGGGTAAGTAACCACTAGCCGACAAGCCAGTGAATGAGTTTTGTTTGCCTCCACTAATTTGCAATTGACAAGGCTAGTGAAATAACTTTAGAAAAATCAGCGTAGAATAGACATCTTCTTGAGTAATATTAATGTACGGAGATTGGCTGGAATCCGTGGATCTGACTCGGTGGCGCAGTGGTAGCGAATGCTACTGCTGTGCTGAGTTCTTAGGCTCGATTCCCGGATGGGACCAAATGTTTGTATGATCTGCAAATATTTATTTCGGAGTTTGGGTGTTTTTCATGTATAATATGTACGTATTTACAAAAAAAAAAGTATTTAAGTATTCTTTCAGTCAATCTAAGTTTCATGGTACAAGCTCTGTTTAGTTTGAAACAAGATGGTAGTGTGTTAGATGTTCGAAATATTATCGATCTAAGAAACTTCATTATTGATTTAATTAGGTATCTCGATGAAAAAAGGGTAGGATAGTAATTGAAATCGGTTCAAAGTTTAGTCTTCCATGCTCATGGCGAGCATCTCTAGACGAGCAGACGGGTCACCTGATGGAAAGTGACCACCTCCACCTCCGCCCATGAATATCTGCAAATCAGGAGTCACAAATGCGTTGCCGGCATTTTAGGAAGCAGTACGCTCTTTTCTTGAAGGTCGTATCGGTCCGGAAATACCGCAGACTTAAGCATAACTTGTTCCACATATTAGTTGGGCGAGTCAAAAAGTGTTTTGAAAAGCGTAGTAGCATAGATATGTTTTGTTTCCCAAATACTGTCCCGTAACAATCACGGGTTCTATCAGTGATATCTACAAGATTTATATTGATATTACGCTATCCTATTTACGCTTTTCTAGACAGTTGTTAATTATTTTTTTCTAATAGACTATTATCCCATCAGTACCTACCACTTTACGTCGCGCAGAATAGTTTTGTTTTCAGGAGTAGATACCCCTGTTACAGGTGCCACCATTTAGCAAGCCACGAGTTGTTGGAATTGAACCAACTAGAAATATATAATTTTCCATCACGGCTGTCTATTGACTGTGATTAGTTTAACTAATACTAACTTATAACAATATACTGAAGTGATACATTAGGCGGGTCCACACAGAGCGAGCAGCCTCGGGAAGTATTGCAAGCAACTAGTTGAAACAATTGTTTGACTGCAGTCACACCATACAGGCCCCTCTTTCCCACTGGGCACTCTGGGCACGTGCTCAGGGCCCCTCGATAGATAGATTCCTACCTACCTACCTAATTCGATAATCCATATTTATTACCGAAAACCATATTTATTTAGAAAAATTCAGCGCAAATGGCTAATTATAATACCTTTTTTGATTATTCTAACAGAATACTAATCAGTCAAGGTCATAAGGGCCCCCATTATCTCAATGTGATCAGGCCCTCCGATAGGCTAAAGATGGCCCTGACACCATGTGCTTGTTAGACATCTTAATTCATTAAGCGGCGGCTACGGCTGTTCTTGAAAATAACTCAAATATTGAGCCAATGACTAAAGGTAATTGTAATAAAAAAAATATATATAATTTGTAATCGTTTAATTTTTCTTCGAAAAAATATTCTCCGCTACATATAAATGTAGATGAAATGACCCGAGTAGACACATGCGTGAGAATGGAATGCGTAAGTACTTACAGACTTGGTGATGATCGCTTACATGCACCACAATGTTGAGCATACACAACGAACAATAAACAAATTAACAATGCAATAAATTACATCAAAATGGCTAAACTAGTAATCGTGTCGTTGTGCTGCTGCAAGATTGTGGACGCCAACAGAAACTTGTTGGAGACATATAAGATAAACTATACTTCCAAGGGACAACGTTTAAACACATTGTATGCAGTAAATACACTACAGTATTATATGCGTAGATATCTCTGCCAGTACCCCACGCAAATTTGTAGCTAGTAGTAATATTGAATACAACATGTTCTCGCCTACTTACGCTACTGCCCTCACATCTCCACAATCCACATTAAACTTATTTTATACAATAAATATAGACAAAAAAATAACAAGCAGATGTTTGTTCAAACATATATAGACTACGAATAAAAATCTCCAATAAATTTCATCTAGTATGTAAACTTAAATTACAATATATACAAATATTTAAAAATAGTAATACGTTAATTGCATAAAGTACAGTTGTACCCTGTTATTTACAAAATAAAACCATGCGTTTGAGTTCACGTGGCAGACTGTACACGCATCGTAATAAACAATGAGGACAAGAAACCGGTTGCTTTAAAAAATCTTTTAGATTTAATGGCGCAAACCAAAAAGTACATTTTATTTGTAACTACACATATTATTTACTTTAATAAAGGATTCACAATAAACTTATCTACGTGCATTGAATTTGCCAAACCAATTATTTCTAAAACTAAACGAATAGATAACAGATTTCCATCATGTCTACCGTCCCTCCCAATCCAAGGGACGTCCTTGTGTCACGTCCATGTAATAAAGTTTTCTTTGATTGTGAAACCTTGACTCTGGAGGAGCTGAAATCGGAGATATTTAAACCATTATTGTATTGCCGATTATGCTTTCTTTGCCATCTAGCAGTTCGGAGTAGCCGGACTCATCACTACAAGCACTGTCGTTATCTCCCGTATTCTTGAAGACTTCGGTCTCCGTGCTAGAATTCAAGCTGTCCACATCGACTAAGTTGTCTATCAGAGATTCAAATTTCTCCTCAAAGTCTGTTAAAGTATTGTCTGCTCTCAATGGCGGATAAGTCGATCGCCGCCTGAAAGCATTTTTTTCTCCTATCGGAACGTGGTTAACCTCCTCATTAATGTTAGTGTCGGAACCGTCCACGATATGAATAGTATTATAGCTCCTGTTACTGCTCCTTACATCACTATGCTCAAAGGATTGTTCCACGTAGGAGACGGAGGAGTCCACGTGTTCTTTGTTGTCTTCCGCAGGGAATGAGGGTAGAGAGGATGGCTCGGTGTCAGTCACCGTACTGGCAGTCTCACAGCCCGAAGAAACAGATCCATCGTCGCTATCCGTGACGAGGTAGTTACTTTGCAACATCACCTTGCAGTCGGTCTCAGCTGCTGCCACTGAGTCATTCAATTCGTTCGATTCGGCGATTGCTTCTAGCAATCTTGTTTCCTTATCCATATCACTTTGACTAATGTTATCGAGGCATCCGTTCTTTAGACTTTCTTTCGCGAGCAAGTCTAATAATTCATCTGACACTGTTATTGTACCACTGCTAGATTCCGAAAGTGTCCGATTGATAATTCCTTCGGGACATGAGGATTTCCTCGGGGACTTAATATCGGGTCGTCGCCTGTCAAGTATCTGCGAGCCATAAAAGTCATCAGTTGTTGTATGAGACCATGACTCGTCATCTTGTTTTGCGTTCATTTTAGCTTCTTCTTCATCTTCTTCTGAACACAGTTCTTCTATAGCTCCCAGCTTCGGAGCAGACTTGGATCTTTCTAGCGGTGGCCTGTAGTTCAAAGCTCCAACGCTGAGCATAATCTTACGACGAGGCATGCTGGGGTTTTCATATACACTGTTTGCGAGGCTGAGCCTAGCATTCTGTTTCGAGATTCTATCTTTCTTAAATTCAACTAATGCCTGTTTCAACTTTACTTGAAGTTCTTCTGTAATCTTCTTTGATAATGATTCTTTGGTGCATAGAACTGCATGGCATCGGAGCTCGTGTTTTAACTTCTTACCTTCATGGCGATATACCCAGCAGAAGAGTTTTGGGTAGTGAGGTGGACTAGCGCAGTAGGTGATACGGTGCGACCAGTATTCGGTAAGGCCGTGCTCTTTGGTGAATCCTTTAAGACCGGAATTGGTGACAGACAGTTTCATTACGACATCGGGTTTAGTCGATTGCTGGTAGTTGCGCCAGAGTGTAGCTAGTGGCTTTTCTATGCAGCTCTCACCTGGAACAAATTAAAAATTTTAATTAAAATTTTGTACAACGAGAAAATACTTTTTACATTATGTTGATATTAAACATAACAGGTTCAATAGTAAGCAATGATTAAATCGTTTAAGAGAACAGGATTTAATTAATTTCATAACCAGTTTTTAATATATCATATTAATCTTTTATAAGGAAACTATTATATGGATGCATAAAAAGTTAAATGGACCCTATTTTGATACATTAATGAATTGCTCAAGATTTTCATTCGGAGATAAAGTTTGATAATTGGTGTGTGCGCCCACTTACACATTGTTCAGTGTAGTGAACAAGTCTTGATACTATATATACACACAAATTTAACTATATATTGGGCATATTTCGAGGTGAACTAGTAATGTGAATGAGATACATATATAAACATGGCGCCCGTGACACGAGGCAGTTGTGACATCATCCGAGCAGTTACAAAAGAGTACTTTTAAATTCATAATACGACACTTCTTGAGTAAATAATATATCTATATAAAGCCGGTTTAAATAAGGTAATGGGAATGTACAAGATCTCTCTTTCCTCAAAAATCTTCTTTAATAAAAGTTGAACCGACTTTAGATAATACTAACAAAGAACACTAAAAACCTAGCAGGAATTAGCAAACCTAGCTTCAAAAAATGACCGCAAATCAAACGCGATTTGCTGTCAATTTTTGAAGAGTTCCGTTGTCTGTCTCTTTAACTCATCATCAGATCTATAATTCAAATAAGACCAATTCGGAATAAACATCATTTGAACAAATAAGAATTTAGCAAAACCGTTTATAAATGACGGAGTTATACCCGAACATACATAAAAAAAGTTATAAACATTGGAATTGATAACCTCCCCCTATTTGAAGTCGGTTAAAAAACATAAAAGTTATTCGCATGATTGAGTCAGAAAAGACAATAAGAAAAAAATGTAAATGTTAAATATGTTAAATATAAATAATATTTCTACGTACGTTTATAAATTGTATCATTATATATAATAACTAAACACACCTCACACACGGCCGTCTGTTTGCAAATTAGGCAGAACCTGTATAGGAACCAGACTGCTGATAAACATAAATATAACTATATAACTAAATACATACATATTAGAGATTTTACATTTGTGTGCTTGATCTTTTAATGTTTGATTTTGTCTGGGTGTTCCTATGTACAATATGTATGTATTTACAAAAAAAAAAGTATATATGTATTTATATCAGTTGTCTAGTACCCATAGTACAAGCTCTGCTCAGTTCGGGCCTAGATGGCGTTGTGTGAATGTGGTTGCATAGTATTATTATTGATTACACCCAGGCACAGAACAAATTATAGTCCTCATCACATTGTGTGGCTGGGGTCGATCCCCAGCCACACAATGTGGCTCTCCCACGACCTCTGGTTTAGCAGACAGGATCATTATCCACTGGACCAATAAAAATACTTCTGCATTAGACAACAAATATTTTTTTATTCACAAATTAGCGTAATGCCATTTCAAGGAAGTAGGTATTGGTATTCTGTTAAAACTTAATTACATAATTACATCAACCCACAGTTACAGTTGAACAGTTACAGTTTCTTGGTTAAACTTATCAAACAAGTTATGGATATTATTACCTTTAGAGGACGTGTATATATATATAGATACGTAAACCGGGACTTCATAACGGTATTATAAGTTACGATATCGATATAATCGATAATAATAACGAAAAATACGATAGAATCCATGTGTTAGAACATGAACATAGCTAAAAAGTGAACAAGGTAGCAAAAAATATTTTTAAATTTTAGATGAAAATAATCTCTAACGTTGAAATTAAAAATAAATTACTTCTAAAAAATATCACCGAACAAATCAAGGTCAATTGTAATAATCTGAATTTTGCATGGTTTACTTTTCCACTTTTAGATGGCTCTGATACAAAATTGCTCCTAGAAGCCTGTGAACGCCCCAGGAGGCTTCTGCGCTTCTGGAAGGACCTTGGCCGGCTCACCTAGCCAACCTTTCCTTGACGCATAAAGAACCAATCTTAAGTCTAAATGCGGAAACCGGAACCCACAACCAATACTAATGGCAATAATCCACTTTTAGATATGCAAAGTTTTCTTCAAATTTACGAGTACTTTAATTCACGAACTTCTAGAGCACAACCATTGCATTTAAAATTAATAAAATTATTAAAATCGATTCATACAAGGTATCGAGAAACATACACAAAAAACTGCCTATTTGACAATCTGTTTTTTTTTAGTCGATTAAGAATACCTGTTCCTACGTACATACGACGTAGCACTTGATTTAAATATACAGATTTATAAACTTCACATAATCGTTTTAAGTAATCAATTCTATTTTCATTTTTAATCGACTTTAAAAAGTAGTAGACTTTTTAAAGTGCGTTTAAAACAACAAAAAACCCTGCTCGGCAGTAGTAATTTCAGTGTGAAGATAGGGACAGTCAATTTTAATAATGTATGTTTCGAACGCATCTATAGGCGTCAATAAAAAAATTGATTTCACGTAAACCAATAAGACCCACCATTATATTTATCCTAAAGTGTAACGGCAATTCAATGAACAGATTAGAAAATATTACCCATTGTATAGTCCATGGCGAGACGTGTCTGATAAAAAGCTATGGAATGGGTTTATGGCATTTTCTCCATTGTTTGGGTAGAGCTTGGGAAATAACCTCTGTTTTATCTACGACATCTGAGGATGTTAAGACACATGTGTAGACGTGATAGTCTACACGAGTGGAACTCGTTTTATACTTAATTTTTCTTAGAAGTAGGGTATAAATTATAAGGCGATGTTATTTGATGATTAATTATACTATGCAGTTCCTCTCGGGGAGGACATACCACGGCCTAACAGTAAACTACTTTTAAGCAATTCTTTCGTTGCATTAAACCCCCTTCGCTGGCCTTACGTAGGGGGCACCGTTTGACAGGTATTACTAAGCTGAATAAAATGTACTAAGACGCCAGGTTTCAAATCTAAGCCCGTTTAGAATTATTCCTTATTAAACATGGCAGTTTTGGTAAAACGAAATTTAACGCTTCAAGATCATGTGATGTCGGTGTTTACAATTTTACATCAAATAAGACTAGTCTTGTTAAATACCAAAATATATACAATTTATTTAAGGTAAATAGTGTGCAAATAATACAGCGTAGATAGCACTGCAAACTATATGATTATATCACCGTATCATCATCATCAACAGCCTTTAACAGTCCACTGCTGGACATAGGCTTCTCCTTAGAAAGGAGGTTTTGGCCTACTATACCACGCTGGCCAGACGAGTTGGTATAGGGTTTGTTTCAAGTTCCCTGAGTGTGGCCGCGGGTGGACGGGACGGGTTTTCCCCTCCACCCGCCATAACGGCCAGCCTCGAGGAGGCGATGTCCGCGTGTGCCGGACGTCGCCTAAATGGAGAATGTACCCGCATGTTGCGGGCAGGCGCTAGGAGGGGTCCGGATGTCTTAATAACAGCAGTACCCGGATCCCTCCTATTACAGGCGCAGAGTGGCACAACGTGTGGTTTTAGTCGGTCCGTTTCCGACACACCACCTCGCCGCAAACCCCGGTGGGGTTTGTTTCAAGTTTTCAATCCTTTATATATCCGTATATGGATGTTTAATGAAGAATAATTTTAAACCAGAGGCCATAGTACAACATTATAAGTAGCGTACTCCTGTACATAATAATAATTAGTGATATCATTCAAGTATCAAAATCACGGTGACGCTGTGAATTTAATTGAATTTTCGCATTAGTATGTGAACCAGGTATAATATCTGCAAGTACAAGTATACATACAAGATAGAATCGTGTGGTTCTCGTTAATTAAAAGTTCAAATTGTTACACTGCTGAGCATGATTGTCGATCACGACCTGTAAACGAGGCGCTAATCACATTAGGAAACGGTTAAATGAGTTACAGGATTTTAATAACATTATTATTCGAGCATCGACTTTGTGATTTCATTATAACTAGAGATCGCATTGCCGTCGAATTTCTTGTTATTTATTTACAATTATTTATGTTATTTTTTATTTATGTTATTTATCTAGAATAGAATGACAGGTCAATAGTTATACTGGACCCTACAAAATATTGTACCACATTCACAAAACGCCATCTAGTCCCAACCTAAGCAAAGCTTGTATTATGGGTACTAGACAACTGATATAAATACATATATACATTTTTTTTGTAAATACATACTTATTATACATAGAAACACCCAGACCAAAAAAATCATAAAATGTTTATGCACACAAATGGAACCCGTGACCTTTGGAATAGCAGTCCGTTACACAAACCACTATCCGGTCGTCGATATAGTGTCCTTTTGTCCCTTTTTTTATGTAATTTTTAACTTTCTAAAAATTTAAGCTTTCTGTAATTGTTCTACATATAAATCATTTAATCTTATTCCTCTGACGCTTTTTCCATACCAAATTGAGGTTGATCTTAAGTCTACTGATCGAGTCGACGGAGTCGATACAGCTGAACTTTGATTTTTTATGTGAAGCGAGCGACTGCGCTCAGACCTCCACAACCTAAGAAGCCGTTATCGAAGTCCTGTAGTCCTGACTGTATTCGGACTTTTTAGGGCTCCAAGTACCCATAACGATTGCCACAGATGTTCGTATGGCAACCGGGACCGACGACGCAACGTTATCTCCGAGGCACAGAGGGGTCTGAATATGTTAAGAAATGATGACCCATCCATAGACTGACGTGACTAGTATTGCTTAGCTTTGCAATGTGTTAATCACTCAGTTGTCACTTCGGTCACTTCGGCCCCAAATATATAATTCGATAATTAAAAGAATAAGAATATTTATGGTCGCCTAACTTGTTTAAAAACAGAGGCACAATAATATATATATTTTTTCTATAATGTATTCAATAGTTATTGAATTAGACATTACGAGGAAACCTATAGGTACTTAAATTGAGTTGATGTTTACAATACACATGTGTCTACCTGTAGAGTTATAGTTACGTGTACCTGTTTTCTATTTTGTTTTTTAAAAGACAACTCCCGCACTAGGGATAATTCCTGTGTTGCGGGGGACTTTACAAACATATATGAAACGGACACAAAGAACACCCAGACTCAGAACAACAATTTGTGGATCACATAAAGTGTTGTCCCATGTGGGGATCGGACAAACAACACTCAGCGTAGTACTGAGCGGCGAGGTGACCGCTTAAACCACCACGCCATTCGTGCAGTGTTATAATAGGATCCAGAATT